AATATTCTGTGATTCTTAACTAGATTCACTTTTCAGCCTGCGAGCATTATGTTTATAATAGCAAGACGTGAGATTTAGGGGATGAAGTAACATTCCTATTCTGCCTGTATGTTAAGTCAGTTGGGTTTTACATTTGTTCGCCTCTTCTTATGGGGAAAAAAATGATGGGTGCTGTGATTAGTCAGCTGAAGGCAAGTAGGTCACAGCTGTGCTTCCYGTTCCAGAGGGGCTATTTGGACTCGGACAGAAATACATCTGGACAGTTATTCCTCCTGTGTGTATGTGGTGTGTCTAGCCCAGCCTCAGACATTTGTTATTCATAACTGCTCACCAAAAGTTTCAGAGCTATTAAGCAAAATTAACAAAAGCTCTTGTCTTTAAAAGATTATTCCTTGCTCATCTGTCATGCCTCTTTTTCCAGCACCCTGCAAGATACCATAACTCTGCCCAATGCAGTGACTGTGGAAGGAAGATTTGAGTTAATTGATGGCTGCCTGATACAGGTAATCAAGGAGCTGGAAAGAGGCTCTGCTAATCATCAGCCCCGAATGTTAGAGCATCCTGCAAATGGTGGCATTCAGGATCATGAGGGGAGTGAGAAGGGCAAATAAGGTAGCAGCCCTGGATTTGGGAAGAGGAGACTGGCCTCTCTGTAGACCTGCTTGGAAGAATCCTGGTGGAGATAGCCCTGGAGAAGAGTGCAGAAGCACTGATTTATTTTTTGGGATCACCTCCTCCTGTATTTTTTCCTGTCCCTCTCTGAGGGTCAGAAGGACCTGTCCATCCTCAGTTTTGTACACATTCATAGCACACTGCTTTACTGGCTACTTCTACCTTGCAGAAAACCATGCTTTCCAGCACACATTTTCTTTTTTTCAGCCCAAATCCTGCGGGAGGTAGGTACCATGGTTAGATGTGGTATTTCTTTCACTGCAGTTTTTGCCTTTAATTTGCCAGACATGGCAGTTGTCAGATGTCTGGAAAGTGTCTCCTTCCTGTTGCACCCCATGGCACTGTAGAAGCAGCCCCAGATGCGGGGCTTGTTCTCACTCCAGAATTTAGTGAGCCCTATCCTAGTTATAAACATAGCAATGGTGGGGGGGGACAATTTGCAAATCCAGCCTCCTTCCCTGGGAAAACCTCCTTCCCTCAGAACCTTGGGAACAGGGATATCCTATCTTTTTATTCTCACTTCTTAGTCATGTGGGCGTTTTAATTTCTTTAAGATGTCTTTCCTGTTTGGCAGTCAGATATGCCTTGAAGAGCTGACTTCTTATTGAGACTAAGTGCATGCATGTGTACATATGTGTGTATATATAACTCATTTATGTGCTGCTCCAAAGCTTGTAGTATCAGTAGATTCCTTCCAGTTGCTTTAAAACCTTTGCTTTCAAAAGCTGGTCACCGATACTTACTCTCTTATTTATGCCCATTCTCTTAATGTATGAAACTTTGATGTGGATTAGGCAGTAGTTATTGTATTTCATCAAATAGATGCCCAGTTCCACAAAAATTGGATATCTTAAGATTTTTATTATTCCTTTAACTTTTTTCCCCTCAAGTTAATCAAATCTATCTTATGAGGCCCTTAGTATACTAATAATGGATGCTATTAACTCTGTTTTTTCACCAACTCTTCCAGAATATTTAAATCATAGTTAAAACATATCAGTTACTATGGGGATAAAAGGACTACCATATAAACATTAAGTTACCATAGTACTGGTATCTTTTTTTTCTGATTATTTTATTGAGGCAATTCATTCTAGCTGATACCAAATTGTGAGATCTTTTTGGATTCCCTATCAATTTGCCTTACTTCTAACGTGACATTTATCTGTACAAACTAGATTTGTATGCTGCAGACATCTATCTGCCTTTGAGCTAGTCACCCTAGGCTTTCTTTATGTAGTTAGGAAATGAGCATTTCTGAAATATATTTTCTCTAAAGTAAACATTAGTTATTAGAGGTCAGGCAAAAAGGCATTTTTGGAGTGCTCACCTGACTGAATAAAGAGAATGACTAACAAGGGCATGACTAGTTCACCTATAATTGTGTACATTGAAGATGACAACTAGATGAGACTGCTCCTGTTGGTGTCTGTGTTCTGCATATGCATTTATACTTAAGATATATACTTTTTTTYCCCTCTGTTGGGTGCTTGTGAAAATGGACCTAATCTTTTCCTGCTCTAATGTGTTGTCCTCTCTTAGAGGAGAGGGAAATGGTGGGGAGGGTGAAAAAGGTTGTTTACACCTTGTCTGGATTTGCGAGATGACATTTTTGTTGCTGTTGGGAATAGAGCTCTCGGCCATATGGCAGGATATCTTCATTTCTGCAGGACAGCAGACAAGCCTGATTTATTTGGTTTGCAGAGGTGAGAATTTTTACCTTCAGGGACACTTCCCCCTAATTCCTTTAAGGAATCTTTCTCTTCAATTGAGAAGACAGATAATCAGCAAAATCTCTCCAACAGCCAGTTGGAGAGTAAAACTTATACAGATTTGGTCTTCTGCACAGTCCCAAAGCTTACTCGTTGCAGAACATCTAGAATTCAACTGTTTTTCTTAACTGTAAAAAAATAACGGAGGGCAGGACACTCGGGAGATCGGAAATGTATTGTGCACACACAGCTTGTCTGCATCCAGGAACTCTGACCTAATGCAATCAGTGTCTTGTAGTTTAAACATCTCTGATATCTGCACAGTTGAAGAGCTTTCCCCCCCTCAAGGAAAGGAGTAATACCATTGCCACCCGAGAACATCTGTCTCATTCTGGAAGTTCATGGGCAGACAGTTTTCCAAAGTTAGAGGAGCTTCTGCATTCTGGTTTTAATTTGCTGTATTGATCTTTCAACTTCTCTAAGAACTGAACCAATCTGGTAATATTTCAGCTCGTATGGCCCCTTTGCAGGACTGATTTGAACAAATATGCTGTCAACTACCTCACCCACACCAGAGTGTGGGAAGGGGTGTCTATCCTGCCTAGCCTGATAAATGTGCACTTTGAACTAAGAACAAATTACTGCAGAAATTTAATTCTTCTCCTAAAGATGTYATTCATGTGTGTTCTTTTGTATCTTTTTATCTTGTCCAGTAATGTTGGTGGTGTAAAACTCTTGCAGCTGCACAGAGCTGAGGAAAGCTGACCATTCTGAGGAAAGCTGACAAAGCTGAGGAAAGCTTCACCATCCTTCGCCTGGACAGGCCGCTGCCTTGCCCTGCACAAGCAGCAGAGCTGGTTAGGCCAGGTAAAGGCAGGCACGGCTGTGCATACAACTTAGAAAACAGCTCACCATATTGAAATTCCTTTTGCAATGTTTCTTTTACAGTAAACAAACGAGTTCTTTCTGCACTGAGGACATCTAGAAAAGATAATAAATCTGAGCTTATCCTTGAAATAACAGAAAAGATGTGTCCCTCCCCTAYTACAAGAAAAAGAAGTTAGGATTTTTCTAATGCAAGTATGTAACCCATCTGYGAGGAAAAACAGGGTTTAAGTAATTTCTTGAAGAGGCCAATACAGGTAATAGCTCTRTGGTCTGGCAAATGAGATAGAATTGGTTCCCCCTTGAGAAGGGAGGGAAATGGCTGYAAAGCTCCTTCTTCCACATGCCTGAAATCATACCAAGCTGCTCAAGGGTGATGTGATGTTCAGACTTGTATTCTTGTATTGCTGTGCAAGGAGACTTCTTGTCTCTTGAGAGAAGGAAGGACCACTGTTGCTCTATGTTGCTTAAATTCCAGTTGTTAGCACAGTTAATCATTAAAAGGAGTGTTTTTTTAAAACTCCTTGCCAAAGCACCCACTTTTATTTGCTATGAACTCAATTTAAATACATAAAAGTATCAACAGTATCAAATTTCCTGTATTTTTATTCATAGGTGAGAAGTCTATGTATGTTACTTCCTTGTCAAAGAATCTTCATTCTTAAAATCCCACAGTGTAAATAACTCCTTATGGAGACAGGGCACTTGCCCAGGCTGCAAGACCTGCTCCCTGCCTTGTGTCCCCTCTGAGGAAGACTGCTGGAGAGGAAGGCTCTGCACGGATCTGGCTGCTGGGGAACCCTCCTGCCCCACAGAGGCCTCACAGGGYTCTGCTACTACCTGTGACTGGGGGCTGCGGTGCCAGCTGCAGGTCTAGGCACTTAGCTGGGCATTAAATTATTTTCAAAACACACATGGTGCTGATCTGCCCTCCTCCCCTGCTGYTCTCAACTCTACAACTATATGTAATTGAAATACCAATTCTTCTCTGCAAGATTTTGTACCTTAATATCTTTAAAATGGTAGAATTTCATACTCTGATACATTAACATTTTACATTTAGAACAGGAATTTAAGTTGATATTGCTATTTCTGYAGTCAAACTCCTTAGTAAACTGCTGGTTCAAATGCCGTGTAAGCAAACTGACTTCTACAGATTATTTSTTAGACCTCTTCTTTTACAAGCTGAAGAAAATGGCGTTATTTTCCACCACTCAAATTTTGCATTGATTAGAATTATTTGAAAAAGTGCAATCTCTTTTAAGGGAAACTATATATAAAGGACAGTGTCAGCATCTTTTAGAAGAAAACAATTAAAAGGGTTAGGGTTGCAGATTATTTTGCCTTTAAGCAGAGTGGGTCTAGCTTGTTCATTAAAACAAGCCKAATACCATACCTGGAATATGATAATATTCCACAGGACTAAAAATACATATTTCCTAGACTGAAGAAGGCAGAATATCACTAAGACTTRAAGACTGACAGGTCTAATGTCCGACTACTATTCAAGTAGTATTGYTGTTTTATTTCTATCATCACTTTCTTTTTAAATAAAAGCAGGCAGATGCTCAGCTGATCAAACTTAGTTTGCTACACAGCTGAGGAGGATTCTAGACTGTTTYACTAAAGATGAAAGTCTACAAAAACCAGGTTTAGATTTATGACTGAAAATACTGCTTAACCTCCTTTATATAAATGTATACCCCAGTCCAAAAGATGAACCTATAGAGACAGTTTGTCTAGATTCCCCTGTGTACCTGTTCAAAATTAATTTCCTTCAGAATGGACCCCAGAGCATGTGGTGAATGAGAAGCACCATCCTTGAAGACTTAAAAAATGTGAAAGAACTCCATATTTTTTTCTCATGTTACTGCAATATATTTCTTTTATTTATTATTGTCTCAGAGGAAGGATGTTACAATGTAGTGTTTGAAATAGCATTTACTTGGCAGCAGAGGACAAAGGATGCATACAAACACAGGCAGAAAAACAACTTCTTTATACATAATTTCATATTCAGAACAAAAATAAAAGCCACCAAATTGACTACTGYGACCTTTATTTACGTAGGGGGGGTTATTTTTTAGGATTCTTTGCCTAGAGCTTGATAAAAGCAAAGTACATTGCAGAGAACAGAGTATAAAGCTATTTCCAATACTACTCATGAAGACAGGTCTGAGGTAGAAAGGTGGTCATGGCTTTCCTCTTCTGTAAAATATCTCCTTTATTTTTTTTTCTTTTCAAAATAATTACACTATCTCCTTACTAGGTGAAGGCTTTAGAGTAGCCCATCTCTTCTCTCCCCAGTTTGCCAGTCTTGCTCCACCTGCCTGGAAATCACCTATAGCTTTTGCTTAGAGCTTTTCAGCTAGAGCAGCCCTGCAGCCCCTCTGCGAGGTTAGTCCTGCCACCCCCGTGTTACAGAGAGGAAAGCTGAGGCCGAGTGGTTCAATCATGTGYCCAAGGCTTCAGAGGGAAGCGCTGCCGGAGCCTGCGGGCTGCCCCAGCCCTTCCTGCAGCAGCCGCTGCCCCGCAGGGAGAGCTGGGGGGGCAGGACAACAGCACGGAGGTAACTTGGCCAAAATGGTCAAGATTCCCAACCTGCTGCATCCCATCCAGCCCCGTGCAGCACTCCTAACTCTGCCAATATCCTTTTGAGCCTTTTCTTCGGTAATGGTTAAGAAGGTTTGGTTTCTCTCCACTGTGTGTGAAATATATTGCATGCAGAGTTACCAACTAAAGGGATGTCCGGAAATTGAAGCAAGTGTCCATGCAACACTGTAAACTCAGGGACAGAATTAAAATCTCCCATGATAACATTAAAGCTAGAGATCAGATGATTAGTGATGCACTGTTTCCATAATTATCCCTACTCAAAGCATGTAAGTAACTGAATTCATCGAAGGCAAAGATGAGCTGCGAGATTACAAGGCCAGATGATACTATCTAAGTGCACTGCAGTGTTTTGAAAAAATGATTCCATCACTAACGATCAGTATTGGAAAGGGCTTCCTAATCGTCTCTTCCTTTCCCAGAGGAAGGCGAGAGCAGCGTGTCTGGGTCATCAGCAGGGGAGCTTGTGGAAATGAGCTTAACTKCAGCCTGTAAACCCCAAAACTTGAAACAAGTTTGGCACAGCAGAGAACGGCAAAACTTTCTCTCTCAATAAAGTCAGGGAAGATATTACACTAACTTAGACCTCACTAAAAACAACTTAAGCTACCATCTAAGTCCTCATTTTAGCTATCTCCAGATTCAAAGTAAAGTAAGGCTTAAAAAAATAATCCTCCAAATGGAGTGTTTTGTGTGGAAATAACTACAAGAAAGCTAAAAATACCATTTTGGTGCATGATGATTATTATGACCTGAAATGCAGGTTTATCTTTTTTTTTTTTTTTTTTTTTTTTAATGGAATTAAAATACTGTAGCTTTCACCCAATGGCAACTTTTGTTAAGCAGCAAGACTACTGCAGGTTACGAGAACTTCTTTTGCCAATCCTGCAAACAACTCACGAGCCTTCAGAAATCTGTGTAGTCAGATGCTTAACATATAAATAATCAGTATAGATTACTAAATGTGTCAGAACATAACTGAGGGTATTTTACAATGTAAAAAGCAAAGAGCTGAAAGGAATGTATATATGTAACATTTTGCTCCAAACTCCTTATGCAGATCTCTTTACGATTATCAAAAGAACATATATAAAGCCCTTGCCCCTTATGCCGCGGCTGTATATTTATACAAATCAGTGACAAATACTCCACTGCTCATTAATTTACASTTGCATAGAAAGGGAAGAAGAAGAAAACAATACTATAAAAACAAGAGCCTCATCTTTGGGTATTCAGTGTTTTACTGTTTCAAGGAGAACACGYGGTCAGAGCTGAGCAGCTCTCAGGTCCCTTGCAGCCTTGTGGTGAAGCGGCGCTTGCAATGGGTGGTCTGTCCAAAAGGGCTGTGCTGCACGCGAGGCCGCACGGGTTGCTCCCCAGGGGAGCACTTCACATTGCCTGTAAGCACGATGAGACATCAGCACAGCATGACCATGCACAGGCCTCTTCACGGAGCTGCATGCTCAGGACTCTAACGTAAGTTTCCAAACACCTTGTATTTTAAACGACTTGGCCCAAAATTTAGCAAATCACCAAGAAATGTAATTTTGCAGAACCCTATTTCTACTGCACTGCGGTGTTCATAATTCTTCTCTACRGAGACCCAAGGATGTGACGGCTGCAGAATTATAATTGCAATTTGTAGGCTTCCTACATCCATAGAAACTAATGTTTGGAAGTCAGACAGGAAAGTATTTTGCTTAAGTGGTAAAAAATGCAGAGTATATATAGCCTGGATTCAGATGAAGGTCCTTAAAAGGTGATCCTGTTTCAGGATTGTTCTCTGCAAAAAGATAAATATCCCTTCTGTAATGGTTCTGGAAGGGTAGTTTTGGAGTATGAGGTCATCTGTGACTCAGCCTGCATCCAAGCAATGATGCTTTTTCACGAGGATGAGCTTTATTTACTGATCACACTGAAAGCTAGCGCTAAGCGCCTGCTCAGAGGAAGGAATATTGAGGAAAAAAAATGCTTCTGATTGATTCAGCTTCTCAAGGGACTGAAAAACAAATCTGAGTGCAGGGCATATTTTATCTCATACCCTTTAGAAAATCCTATCTGGGAGGGCAATCCTACAWTCCCAGATAACACAATCCAAGTAAGAGTTTGGAATAACAATTCTCCATTCTCAGACACTCATTTTGAAGAGGTCTGACCTTGCAAACTGTGGATTAATGGACATGGTGAAGCAATTGGGGGGATTAAATAAATGGACTCTACTACTTCCTTCTTCTGAAGCCTTGCACAGCAATTTGYGCTTGCTGAAAGACTTTCAACAATAAAACTTTGACAGAACTATGCAGTGACACAAGGCTGTCACTCCTTATTTCTCATAATGCAAACACATTTATTCTAACATGAACRTAAACCTGCATTTCCAGCAGGTAGGCTTTTAATAACTCAACAGTATCTCAATACCCTATTGATTACCATGTTTTTGCACACATTAGGACTAAGCAGATTTCTGCTTTAGGTCTGTACCTAGTGATTGCTTATTGGTAGCAGCTTAATCTAATGCCTTAGGGTACCGTGCTGCTCTTGATCCATAGACCCTCCACCGGACTACCTTTAATTATACCTGTGGTAGCAGGAGTTTCCCATTAGCTGGGATGACCCAGAATGATCCAGCTTCCAAACTGTTGGCAAGGGAAAAACACAGGCAAAAACCGGCCACTCTGCTTTAATGGAACATTTCTACTTGCTCTACACTTTGCCYTTAAAGACTATACAAAGATGTAAACATGTCTCATACCTGTGATCTGCCAGGGAAACTTGCTGCAAATAGAAAAAAAAAGAAAGTTAAAATTTGCACAATTCTGTATCCTGTTAGCTTAAAAACAATGTGTCAAAACAATCAGTGCTACAGAAGAATAGGAAAACACTGAATCTCAAAAAAGAAATATGTAACTAGAAGAACATTGTAATGGTCTGTGCATAACTTTCTTCCTAAATTTATTTTTACAATAAAAATATAACCTTATGAATATAGAATAAATGTATTGTTCATTTTTCATGACTTGCAACCATACAGAGCTATCCAGACTGCACTATAATTCAGTCTGTCCAAAACTATCAATCMTATTTTAGCTTGGTATTTTATTAAAAAAAWATATATATTATTGAGTAACAATATCCACGACATTTAGCTTCTTTACATTCACGAGGGAAGGAGGCTGGCCTGATTTAGTTCACAATCAAAGACAAGAAATGCATACTGGAGTACAGGACTGCACCGTAACCACAAGAAGAACATGAGATAACCAAAAAGGTAACAAATTTTACCATGCACTAGTTACTCTCTCCCCCATTTCTTTCATTGCATCAAGTTTGTAAGTTGCTTCCTTATTTATTTTAGCATGATCCATCAGCTAAGTCGGGGCAAATTACGTACTTTCATGTCACTTTTCCACTCTAATTGATTTTAATGATCGTCACCAAACTGTCCAGTGCAGCCTGCAGCAACTATCATCTCCTTCTGACACACCAGAGCACGGGGACTATCAGCACAGAATATGCACAACAATTTTTCTGATACTTTGACCATCTTTTACAACTAGTCCACCAGACCACAGTCAACACTGAATGTATCCAGGGCTACTACATACAGTTGGATTCTTTGACCTAGGAGAATTCAAAATTACATTTCTAAACTCTTGGGATAGGCTCTTAGCCATTAGGCTGTAAACTTGCTTAAGGACGTCACTCTTCAAAGAAATTCAGAACTCATGGTATCAGACACGTCCATGGCCTGAGTTAGAGATACCATATGCCAGCGTTCTCCTTTCCTCCCTGTTCTTCTTGGAGTGAAAATCACCTGGTCCTTGTTGCTTTTCTTCCATGCTAGACACCAGAGATCCAGGTGAACATGTTATCATCCCCCTCTCCTTCTGAAGTTTTGAATACAGMTATCAAGTAGATTGTGAGATCTTGGGTCTTATAGCAATAGCTACTTAGACACTCTAAGTTAATAGACTGTAATACTGCTATTAGAACCACAGCTGTCAAGATACCCAGAGCATCTCATGAAGACACAAAGTACTCAGAAATTTCTGTGAACTCACAGGGACCTAGCAGTGCTGAACTGTAACAGGAACTGTAGACGTTCCCTCAGGAGCATACATGATAAGTGGCGGGCAGTATTTCTAATATAGATCTATCACCATGTTAGAAAGATTGGCATGGAAATACATCAGTCACAAGAAGCTTTCTATCACGAGTCTGAATTTGTATGACAGAAGTTGATTCACAGAGCACAGAAATGTAGGCCCTTGCAGCTATCTAGTCCAACATCTCAAAAAAAAAAYGACCACTGCCAACAGTCTTGACTAGTCACATCTTCAAAGTCTCTGAAGATGGAGATTCCAGAACCTCTCTGTTCCACTGCACTCCCTTTAGTTCAGGAGATGAAAGAAATTAAAATTCTGGCAGCACACAAGGAAGTATTCCTCCTCTGTTCAAACAACYGGATATTTTAATCTACTTTCAAAAGGCTTCTCTACCAGCAGACAGAACTCGCTTTTTTTTTTTTTCCAGAATTGTTAACTTTTCCTCCTTACAGCTAAGCAGAAAAAAAATATCCAATAGTATTGAAAAAGGTCAAAAGCATCTTCTCTGCAGAAGACAGTGGACCTTTATCATAGTCCCAAGGGCATATTAATGTCATTAAAAGGCATAAAGCTTTCCCAACAGATTATGTTTGGGCTGCAAGACTGCACTACAGAAGGCCTTCCCTGTGGGACTCTGCTTCCACCAGGTTTTGGTGTTTGGAAGCTCTGGCTATCATTGTTTTTGCTGCAAGGCTCCTTTTGTCATTAATTCTAGGCATGGGAATAACGTATTAAACACTAGTTGCGCTCTTGAATTGGAAATCCTCCAAAAACGACAGGTATTAGCTCACCCTCTAACAATGTTTCATCTTACGTGTCACACAGACCGAAATACCCAAGCAGAGCAAGGGGAAAAAGACAGAGAATTATATTAATACTACAATTTTCTATCATCTGTCTCAGTCTCAGAAAGCTCCAAGATGTGAGCTCTCTTCCGGAACTCACTTGGTCACAAAGGCAACAACTCGGAGCACGGCTGCACCTCTGCCTAGTGCTGAGCAGCAACCTCATAAGCAGGCACAGAAAGAAATATTACATCCGAAGAATCAGGGGACCAAAAACTAAGAGCACTGCTGGCCTAACTCTATGAAAAATTGCTTCACAAGGAATGTTCGGAAAAAGTAGAAATATCGATTTCAAAAGGAATTATATCTTGAAAGGCTATTAAAACAAATAGCATAAAAAAGAAGAGTGGCACTGTTATAAAGTCAGCATGGGGCAGAAATAATCCAAGGTTCAGTCCCTGGTARCTTTCTGTAAAAAAAACTGTAGTTAAAAGCTGTAGCCAAGATAGGAGAGAACACTAATGAGGATGTAAAACACTATTCCATCTATCTAKCTATAATGGACATAATACGTAAAACAAGAACGCTGTTCTAAAACTACTTACTTCAGGTTTAAGGAGGGTATCATTATTCTTTAAGGCTGGGAATACAGTGATGCACTTAACACATATTGCCAAGGCAGTCTCTGGAGTCTGCATTACTGGAAGTCTTGCAGAACAGGTTAGGCAACTGTCCCACTAGGAATGACAGATGTGATGTGGCCACAGGACATGATGATGGATTAGATGGCCTGTCAGGGCCCTCTCAAGCAAAACCCCAAGGGTTTAACACACTCCTGTTGAGAAGGCCAGATTGACAGTTCCCATTCCAGCCTTTGGAAACTGAGCGTGTCAATCTGATGTGGGTTAAAAAAATGCTGCCGAGAAATCTCTCAAATGAGAGATACTGTCACAGGGCCAAGCAAGGGCAGACGTAACTAACACCTACGAGTGGTGCGCACTGCTTTGAGGCCTGCAGCAGAGCATCAGTGCCAAAGGCAAAGCCGCATGAGATTTGGAACTGTGACATGTTTTATTTAGTGGAGGACTCCTTTTACACGCTCAGATGTACGTGCTATGGGGCCATGGTTTTCAGTTTCAGTCCCTCCTGCCTCATTCGAGCTATCGTGCCACAGAAATGACATTTTGCTTGTTTGCAGCCTGGGGAGAGCAGACATCATCAAGTTGGCTCTTATACAGGAATCCAGGGAATTAAAGATTATCCGATTTTCACCAGACTGACATGGGCCAAATATCCAGGAGTTGTTATATTGCTTATATATGCAAGACAGGAACTGACAAAAGCAAAAGTGACACTATTTTCATTTTCTACTGATTAAAAGAATATATATTATAAATATAAAAATACACACACATATAAACACCAACGACCTAAATCTTGATTTGCGCTGAGTAGCTCCTCTAGCTACTGACTTGAAGGAGAGATGACCCAAATCCTTAATTTGTAAAGGAGAGGGCTCTGAACAAGTGAACTTGCTCAAAACCTCCAGGGCAGCTGCAACACAACTTCTTGGGCTGGATGCTCATTTGTTTTCTCTAAAGGTGCAAAGTGCATCGTCTCTAAAGCAGCCCTTCACAGCTCGGCAAGCAATGTACAAGCAAAAGATAGGTATTTTAATAGGGTTCGAAGAACTTAGGAAAAGGAATTCAGCACCGTACTATCCAAATGGTTCTTAAAGGATCAGGCATAAATATCTTCAYCTCATTTGCACTTTTTTAAAATGGCCATTGCTACTTATTTCATTTTAAAGAGCAGTTTAAGAAGTTTAATAAACATACTATAAACTTTCCGTATTTTTGCTGGGACAAATAGCTGGGGCTGAAAATMTACATTTTTATAACACAAATTCTGTATCATAAACAGAACAGAACTCACAGAATATCAATATATACAAATAAAACAAAGTCTCCACTTCATCCCACCGCCAAAAAGAAATTCYCACAATTGACCAGTCAATATACTGAGAATGACTTATTTCTTCAGCGGTCAGCCTCATATTTAGTAATATTCTCACAAACAGCTCTTGTTAAACTTACAGCAGCAAGCTGGAAATGTGCTGTTGATTTGCTCCATAACATCTGTTAGATCTGTGCTGGTATCATGAGGAGGGGCTAGCAAGTCATCTGTAGGAATGAAATTGCAAAAAAGAGCAATAATAATTTAATAACAAGAAGAGAAAATTAAAAAGGACACTGACATCCTGAAAGGCATTCTCATCCAACCCTAGCTCTTACCCAATGGAGTTAAATACTCCATTATATTTCAAGTGAAASCACTACCTGAAGCCTTTGCAACTTAATGTGCAGCAGCTATCATTGATAATTGTCAGCCCTGGGAGAGAAGGTAGAAGTTAAATTATGGATTTGCAGCTAAAGTTGTTTCTCCATTATTAAAGTTTAACCACCACATCCCAGTTCTAACCAAAGGGAATTGCTTACAAGTGTATGAGAATTTACAGTTAAAATATATGCTTAGCCAGATGAAGGAATTACACTTGATAGCTGCTGAATTAATATTCTGTTCTATTTTCAAATAATTTGTCACATAGCTTCCAAATAAATTATTCTTTTTTGGAGGGTAGGAAAAAACTCCCATCAACTTTAGATAGTCTTTATTTCATATGCAAAAGTAATTTYAATAGTGTTAAAATTCTCCTTGCCATCTTCTTTATTTTTTTTTAAGCAATGCTTAAAATTAGCCAATGGAATGGCTAGGGAATACAACTAAGTTCATTCTTGCTGATGTTATTAGTCACTCCCTCAAAACAGAAGTTTTGTGATTTTTTCTTTCTTTTTTTTTTTTCTTTCTTTCTTTTCTTTTTTTTTTTTTAAGATGCCAGCAACATGCCAAGGCTGAATGAAAACTTTTCAATATAAAAGAGAATATTTTTCCTGTTTTTCACAGAAATAAGAACATTTTTACCTATAACACAAAAGCTTGGAAGCAAAGGTAGGGGGGAATGAGCAATCAGATTATTTATGCCAATTCTCAATGGAATTAATGAGTTTGGCTAATGGACATTTAAAATATCTTTTAAAATAGAAAACCCTTTACGTGCAGAGGCTGTATACAAGTTTCTAAACAATTCCTAAAGAYGTTGAGTTTTGAGGAGTAAAATACAGAGCAAACAAAGGATATACAGCAGTGCTATAGGAAGCCATCAGAAAACTTCTATTACATATTTTCAGGTGTTTTTTCTTTTTTGTGACAAACTGCTTAGCTGCATCCATGCAATGTAGGACAAACAGCTTTTTGCTATTTCATTCTAATGAAATGTGATTCTCTCTTTCATATCGATAGATTAACTCAGGGAAATTTGTTTGTTAAAAAATGAGGAGATGGAGAGCACTTTAGATAAAAATCTGTAATTCAGATTAGCATGGATTTTTCTGATAAAGCAGCTGTTTGCAACAGTGGGTAACTCACAGCTCTAGCTTTGAGTCTTGTTAAGTCTTATTAATAAGACTAAGTCTTATTCCCATTAGCACTGGAAAAATCAGTTCCATTTTATTTATGTATCAGTCCCTTAAGAAAGGCACAAACGAAGCTACTGAGCAGAGCCCTCACCTGTGTGCTGGAACGGGGAGCTGGTCTCTGGATCCAGCGGGTAGCTGAGCGCGGGATGCTGCGGCGAGGCGCACGGAGAGGCGCCATTAACTCTGCCCTCTGACTCRGGCTACGTGCAAGACACAGCGTGGTTAGAAAAACATGGAAATGTGGATACATGAGGTCTACAGAACTGAAGTGGGCGCTTATATGTGGTCTTCCCCCTCCTTTCCTTTTCTTTATGCTGTGCCTTGCTTTCTCTCTGAACTGCTGACCATTGGCTTAGGCCAGCACAACTGCTTGGAAGAAAATCCAGGCTCCAGGGAGCTCCTCATTCCAAGCAGTGCTCATCTATCAATGTGCACCACAGAAACACAGAATTCACAGAATATTTAAGGTTGGAAGGGACCTCTACAGATCATCTAGTCCAACCTTCCTGCTCAAGCAGGCACACCTACAGCATGTGGCACAGGGTGGCATCCAGGCGGGTTTTGAAGACCTCCAGAGTAGGAGACTCCACAACCTCCCTGGGCAGCCTGTTCCACTGCTCTGTCACCCTAACAGTAAAGAAGTTGCTCCTCACCTGGAGACGGAACTTCCTGTGCTCCAGCTTGTGGCCATTACCCCTCGTCCTGTTGCTGGCCACCAGTGAGAACAGCCTGTCCCCTTCCTCCCTGCATTCTCCCTTCCTGAACTTATACACATTAATCAGATCCCCTCTCAACCTTCTCTTCTCCAGAGAAAACAGGCCCAGCTCACTCAGCCTCTCTTCATACGAGAGATGTTCCATTCCCTTAATCATCCTGGTTGCCCTTCTCTGGACCCTCTCGAGAAGCTCCACGTCCYTCCTATACTGGGGWGCCCAGAACTGCACMCAGTACTCCAGGTGYGGCCTCACCAGAGCTGAGTAGAGGGGCAGAATCACCTCCCTTGACCTGCTGGCAACRCTCCTCCTSATGCAGGCCAGGATCCCATTGGCCTTCTTGGCCACGAGGGCACACTGCTSMCTCATGGTTAACTTGGTGTCAACCAGGAYTCCCAGGTCCCTCYCCGTGGAGSTRCTTTCTAGCAGGTCVACCCCTAATCTGTACTGGTGCCTGGGGTTATTCCTCCCCAGGTGCAGGACCCTGCACTTGTYCTTDTTGAACCTCATGAGGTTCCTCTCTGCCCAACTCTCCAGCCTGTCCAGGTCTCTCTGGATGGCAGCACAGCCCTCTGGAGTGTCGGCCACTCCACCCAGCTTGGTGTCATCTGCAAAATTACACACAATCCAAAGGGCAGGCGCCCTCCTTTCGGCCGGGCTCCCTCAGCCAAGCTCCACGTATGGACCACACCATGGTACTGTGGCTCAGTTGGGATATTCAGCTGTGCTGCCCTGTGCAAAGGCAACGGATCCTGCCCTGTGGCAGCTTTCTGATCTTCAAGAGTTTTGGAAAACTCCTTCCCAATCAAGCCAAGTGCAGGCATTGGACTCCAGGGGGACTCTGTTAAATGGAAGCAGTGAGGGCTATCCATTGGCTCCCATGGGAACTGTTTCCTCAGAGCATGTAGGGCTTCAAGAAAAACTATGCAGTACGTAATTTACAGAAAGCTATCTTTTTTTACAGAAAATTACAGAAACTTCAGAAAACAGGAGTCTGTATACCTAAATTCACTAATGAATCCATCAGAGAATCTTGTATTATACTTGGCTGTAAACATGTACGTGTTTGAGAATATACACACACAGAGATATGTGCTTATGCACACACACATTGATGCATTAATAAGAAAAAATCACAGGCTTCTCCACTTCAACTCAGAAGTATCAGAAGGGATTTTGCTCAGGCATTTTCTCCTCTTTTCTTTAAGAAATTGAGGAAGAGGGTTTTACATTTAAGCTCCCAAACTGACTACTCTGGAAAACTAGAAGTACGTAAAAGAGCATTTAACATCTGAGGCACTTGCATAATCTTAGTTCAAATGGTTGCCCCATCATCTTATCTTTTTGAATGCAAATCACAAAATTACTTCCTAACAGTCTAAAGCATGGAATATTTAACCAAACCTGATAAAAGCAGACACAGAACAAACGCAAAAATAATATCACCTTTAAGYTTTTTTGGAAAGTAACAGACTGAAAAAGTATCCAGAACAGTTATGAATGAGACTCAGTGCAAAGAGGAAAAATACAAAACACAGTTAACTTACGCCCAGTCTTTGCTCTTTTGCAGCTCACCGCCCCAAGTGCAACGTTCACTTTAAACTTACAGATGAAAAAAAAAAACCCACCCTTTAACAAAAGAAAACTGAAAGTTGTTGAACAAAGAGAAAAACGTTTTCTTTCATATGCACTAGAGAAGAAATGCTCCCTGGAGCTCTCAGCGAATCTCTTTTTCTCCAACAAATCTCATCTCTCTTTCAGTAACCTCCAGCTTTGCCTAAGAAGAATAACTAAATAATATTTCTTAATATTGCTCTGCATTCAAAAGACAGCAAAAAACTGAAACGCTTTCAAGGCAGCCAAAGATTTCACTGTCTGACACTCCTGAGAAGAGCTACCGTCACTTGCTATTCAGCAATCAGACTTCAGTTGAGTTACAGAGTGCAGGTGAAAGGAGTTTGCTGCTGCCACACAGGCCAAACCTCCTTCAGCAAGCCAGGCAACCTGGTATACAGGCAACCTCTGCTCAAGCAGAGTTTAAAGCTGTGATGGTGCAGAGATGAAGCAACCACAGCAAGGGTTAAGGGTTACTTCAATCYGGAATGAAGCAATTTTCAGAAGAGGGCTGGACTTGGTACAGAACTGCAGTACAGCACCATGGAGGCTAAGTCAAGGATGGCGAGGCAATGCAAAGTCAGGATTAATTAGGAGATGCCTATGAACTCAGATGAAGACTTTGTAGCAAAGTACATTTAGGGCTGCTTAGCCACATGACTCAAACTGGCAGGAAAAAAAAAGCCAACACAGMGCATGAGGACTCAGCAGTTAAAATGAGAACAAACAGAACATATTATACTCTGTGGTTGTGTAGCACTTACTGCTAAAATAATCAGAATGGAATACTGCTCCTGGATTTTTAAAGAGGGACCACATCCCTTACGATCAAAGGCCTATATCTGATGAATTCATGCTTTACTTAAACATACTTACAATGTTACAYTGCCCAGTTGCAATACCTACTATAAAAAAAGCCAAATGAAATCAAAATCCTCCTGCTCCAAATATAGAACACAGCTAGAAAGATGAACTGTGGGTTTTGGAGCATTAAGAGAAGGGTTCCAATAGTGGAAATACTTTCATAATGAAGTACCGACCACTGTTGAACACAAAATAAATAAGGATACTACTACATGCAGTTACATGACTTAACTTTTTTTCCTGGGGGAGAATGGGAGGCACAGAGAAGACACAGGCTACTGTACAACACTACAAAGTGAACATCAAGAATTAGTAGACTGAAAACTCATGGAAAGCCTCTTCTACCCGACTCTTGCTGGATAACACCTACAGCATCTAATCATTCCCACCATCAAACCTCTTCAGGCACTATGAAGTTCAGGCATTCCTACTCAAAACAACCCAACAAACAGGGGTTAGGCAGAAGCCAGAGGAAAAGAGCCCTAACAGTTCTTTCCCAAGGGAGAGTTTGAAGGGTTCTCTGGGTCCTAGAAAYATAAACCATACCTGTGATTCACTTGATTCACTTCTGTGAGGAGAAGACATCTCTGAATCACAGCGAGTCTCAAAAACAAAACAAAAGCTAATTCCCTTTGCAAACCAATTACAGAGGTTTCTGCTTGTTTCAAGCTTATTCTCCCAGCCACAAAATAAACATATTCTACTCTTCTGGTACAAACAAAATAAAAATATTCTGCTTTTCTGGTACAGCTCCTCTGCTTTCAGGAGAGGGAGCTGCAGTCTTTATTTACCTTGTCCTACAGTGTGATATATCCATTGATCTATGATACTAGCTTCGATTTACTTCAACCTCAAACTCAATATGAAACCACTACTCAGTAGCTCAGGGAAGCAGAAAAAAATCCTAACAGACTTACAGAAAAAAATCCTAACAGACTTACAATGCCCTTCACCACAAGTCTTATTTTGCATGTGCAATATCTAACAGGGCTCTAGGAAGAAAATTGAAAATGGATTATTTTTCTTTCTCTGTACGATTAACATACCGGTATCAAAGCTCGCCAGTTCTCTTTCACCTTCCTCTTTGGCACTACAATCAATCAGGCGGACAAAAAAAGACAGTGGTGTGACAGCTACCAATCCTTTGGGCTTGCTAACCTAAAAATAGCATGGTCACCTCAGGATGAGGAGCTGAAGCGGGCAAACGTGTGTGCGAGGAGGCAGCGCGGCGCGGATCAGCGCGCTCCCCAGAGAGCGTCTCGGAAAGAGACGTTCATACAGATCAAACAGCCACGACAGGGAAGCTTCCAAATTTCATTTAGCTTCTCCCTCAATGTCAGTGGGTAGACAAATTCATCTCACATCTCTTAGGGAAAAAAGGAGGTCGGTACTTTCAGATTCGGTGACAAGTTATTAACCTAAGCAACAACCAGGAAAAAGCAAAGGCAGAAAGTTGCTCTTGACAGAAGCTTCAATACAAAGAGATGACATGAGATGCCAGCCGTGGCAGAGAAATTGCTACACGAAGCTGTATCCTTTAATACCAGTAATTATTGTTAGGGGAGCTCTGCAGTTGTTAAATGTTTTGACGTTCGGATTCAAGGGAATCTTCTATGCAAATCACCCAATTCCCGTCATGAGAAAAGGAACTCCTCCTATCCGCTGAAAGGGCAATCAACAACAGTAATGAAAATAAACAAAGCTTAGATCCCCAGTTGGCTTTAGATAAAGTCCTATAATTACGGCAGTGAAAAAAGGAAAAACTTTCACATACCAAAAACGACCTAGATGATACGAAAAGAAACTTTTACTAAAATTGGTCATTTTTACAGATGGACGAATGTTAACGGCATAGTAATGGGATTTAGTGCTGTTTCATAAGTGCATTAATGTCAGCTGAAGGAAGCTCCAAAAATGCATGTGGAAAAACTGAATTATTCACAATTTCTGAATCCTCCTGCGAATCCTCCAGAATAGTAACTTAGACATCACAGTAAAGAGCTTGCAAAAATTTGCCCAGTGACAGTAAAAAGCAAACAAACCGTGCCCCTAGTCCCCAATAAAATAAAGATGCATTTAGAGAGGCATACTGCAAATCCCCGAAATACTATGGAAACAACGATGCCGACCCTCTACAATAACTTGACTTAATTCCAGCCACTCCTTGAGAGGAGGAGCAGGGAAATTGGAACAGCTTTAGTCAGGACATTCAGAACCAGCAGAACCACAGCATGACTCTCACAGAGCAGGAACTCCAGAATGCCCAGAAAAATCAAAAGACAAAACTGCTAAAGAAGGGTTTTGTTTTTTTTTTTTAAAACACAATATACACATTATACCCCAAAAGCATAACTAAGGACATTATGAGGATTCTAAAAAGCTTTCACAATTATATGTTTAGTAAGATTATTCACAGTTATGCTAGAACAAAACAAAGCTTTAAAGGGTGAGCAATTTTCATGCTTTAAGAACTACACTGAAACAGCCTGTGCGTTTGGCAGAACTTCTGCATTTCCCTTGTCAGCTGTTTCAGCAGAACTAAGTCTGGAACACCCTGGGGTGGCCACAGTCATGGAGATATTTACTTCATGAACKATTGAGATGAGCAGTTAGAACCAGTCCTTATTTTCCTTTTTCAATATTTAAGCTACTCAAATACTGATGAAAGATGCCAWAATGACAAGAACATCCAAAAAGAATGCTGCTAGAAGGGTAGGGAAGCCACTGGAAGAGAGGCACTTTAATACTACACTTCAAGACTAGGTAGAAAAATGAGAAAGGCAGCCACTGAAAAGAGTTCATCAACAGCAGGAATTTATGCCCTTGCCATATCTGTTTTGTGAGGTTAAATTCCTTAAGAATCRTGGCTGTTCACCTGGCTCATGGAGTCCAGGGATCGTTTCCCTCACTGGACTCTGATCAARCTCTGCCGATTATTTAGGAGAACACATTCATACACTCTTCATCATCCAAGCTTCTACAGAAGATATAGAATAAACACCTCTGACAATACCTTGTATAAGTTACTGTTGGTACTTTTATAATCTAGATATGCATATTCTGCATTCAGCACTTGCTTCTCCAACAAAGAAATCCAGTGATATCTATAGCTACCAAATATTGCTAAGAGTCTCCTGTCTGCAGCATTTAATTATCTGTAGAACATTTTTCTGTCTCTTACTGGTCTAAATGTGTTGCTCAAGAGAAGCCTCCTYACCTTTGGAATGCCAAGAAAGGCCTAGGTGTCTAAGAATCCAGGCAATAACTAGGACATATTAAGGAAAGGTTGAAGAGTTTAAGTACAATACTGGGTGTGACTTGCATCACTACTTAGGAAAAGGCATATACTCTCTTCCTCGTCCTCTTTAATTTGGGTGAAAGGACTRTTGCTTGTTTTGTGTTATTCACTTCAGAAATTACCATGATTACTCCACCAATTGTAATTATTTTGCCTTCATTTTGACCTTATAGTCAGCAACATAGACTGCAAGAAAAAAATGTCTCCTTATCCTGAATGCAGTAAATCAGCATAATTTGGGAAAAAAATAYGTGCAATAAAATCCCAAAGCCTCTGATTCACCATCACCTGGAAACAGTGTTGGAGAAAGACACCACTATCCATTTACCTGCTCAAGCAGCTGCCGTAGCCGGTGAAGCTGAGACTCCAACTGTTTGTTGTGATCTTCCAGTATTTGCATCCTTGCTTCCAGGCGACCTTTATGTTGCCTTAGGAGTTTAGCTTCAGCGAGGAGCTCGGCATCCTCAGCAGCATGCTGAGGGGACACAACAGTGTCTGGGGGTGATGCCAGAGGGTTGATTCCTTTCCGAAGATGTTGCTCCTTAAGTTGCTCGTATTCTATCTGCAGACTCCTGGTGCATTAGGAGAAGAAGAGAGTGATGACAATCAAGCACATAAAATAAAAACCTTTCGTAGTTCAAATGATTTTATCACCTCCAACTAACTACAGGAGACACACAGCTGATACAAAGCTCCACTCCTTGCTCACAGATAAAAAGCACACACAATAAAGTAGAGGTGAAACTCAAATATTTTGTCACAGGTGACTCTTTCACCAAACAAGGATGCAGGCTATGAACTCGGATTTCACTGGGTGCCTGTCTTCTCATCCTCTCCAACAAGACCTGCATGCAGTACATGCCAGATGCAAGCAGTGAGAGCGAGGTGACCACTCAGACAGCAGGCAGCTGATGACCAGACCTTTGCTCTTCCTCCAGGTCGGCGATGATGCGCTCCAGCTCTCCCCGCTCTTCCCTCTCCACTGACTTGAGTATCTGCGCAGGACTCTGCGGCTGGCTCACGGGCGACTCTCCTCCCAGGGTCTGGCAATACTGCTGGATAAGGGCATGTTCATCTTCCCTAGAGTCATAAAACAACACAGATAGAAGCCAGTAATGCATTTATTATGTGAGCTAACAACTCTGCCCAGCTGATGGGGCTTCTCTGGGCTTGTCGCTTGGTTACAGCAAAGTACTCGGAGCGGAAAATAAGGCTGCAAGAATCAAAGGTGCAACTGTCAGATGCTTGTGGCTCAGCAAACTGTATTAAAACTTCTCTGACTTATTTCTAAAAAAYATACTGCAGAAAACCAAAACATTCAACATACAGGAAAAAAACCCAACTGCATCAGTATAAAAGAACAGTTCATTTTAATGTATATATAAAGACCAAAGGCTGCTGATGGTGAGAAAAGAAACAGTGAAAACAAGTAATCTAAACCAAAAATAATTACTTCCAAGTGCCTTAAAAAGAAATAAAAGCAAATGAACTACTTGACAAAGTAGCCATTGACTGGTTTTATCTTTATCTTGACTGTAAATAGTCCTTAACTTAGAGTATTCTTTAGGAAAAAAAGACAATTTCTGTGTGCTTAATCTACTTAAAATTTAAAGATTAAAAGAAATATCACAGAACTCTCAAAAATGTGATGTCGCAAAGGATCATTAACTGTCTAGATAAATCAGTATGGGCTGCACAAGGGTGACTGCCAATGCTGTCATGATCACAACGTGGATTCTTTATTAGTCTTGTATTTCCACAGCTGGGTGATACGCATGTGGCACACTGGAACTCTTCAAGGGTAGCTGTTACCTTCCTCTTCATAGATCTGGGTACAAAACTACAAGCCAGGGACTGACCTTCCTTTGAGCAGCACAGAAATCCCATTCTGGTTAGGAGACAGAGAACACCTAAAACTTTTAATTATGCTATACTATCCATATTTTACTTTTCCAGTTCTGCCTTCATTTTCCACCTTTTTTTTTTTTCCACAGCAATGTTAGAGGGATAGGAAAAGATACCATGCCCTAAGAATAGTTGCTTGCTTACTCAGAAAAGGATAAATGAGACACAGAAAGACTATATGCTGTTTCTAAAAGAGAAATTGCTGAATCATAGCAATAAGTAGAACGCACTCTGCCCTTCACCAAACCCATCTTGGCTTGACTGCGAGACAGAGGTCATGTGCTTTACTGCACAGTGAGATATTTTACACAGAAGCTTCATCCTAAAAACCTTTCACAGTTAAAATAAGATAAAAAGCCAAACCAAAAAAGTCATTTACCAAATATCCAGATGTATTCAGATTCATTTGGGCAAGCATGCAGATATATGAGATATATATGGAGAGGAGACACTTTTTGTGTCTTCATTAGCAAGAGATAAATGAAGATACCATATAGGATACTGAAGCAGCAGTAAAGCAGATGGAAGAAGGAAGAGAGTTGGCATGAAAGGCACTTCAGACTGTCAGACGGGTTTCAACCGGAATGGGACCATTAGGTCGACAAGAGATAAGGAAGTGCCCCATTTAATCTGGGAGGGCAGCATCCATGATAAACAAAGGCAAAAGGTCTTTTCCACTCACGGGGCTTTATCRCAAGAACAGAATGTAAAGTTTCAAAGGTTTCCTTATGTGAGTGTGATGCAGCCGGGCTACTGTTCAGATGATTAGGTCATCTAAAGGGGACAAAGTGAACATATTTGTTGTTGAAGGTACACTCATCTGTTTACATCAGCCAATGCCAATTTTCCTTAGAATGTAGTTGAATGTTTAGATGCTTAAAAGAAATAAAAACTTTTACATCACTGCTTGCTATGGTAATCTCACAAAAATGTTAATACTAATATCTGTCTTGCAAAATCATGCAAAARCTTTTGCAAGATGCTGACAGGACCATTCTCTGCTTTTTCAGAGGACAGAAACTTTCTGAGGCTTTTAAAATAACTTAYTGAAAATATCTCTTTTGTAACRGAGTTAAGATGAACTCCATAAATATGAAATTTCTCACTTAAGAAGCTTAGAAGRATTTTTTTCTTAGAAAAACAAACATACAGCTTTTTAGAGTTTAAACCCAGAAAGAGAGTAATAATCATGAAACAGACTATTCTGCATTAAAAAYATCTATCTTACACTAATCTTTTTCCTGCCATGGTTGTAGTGAAATAACTGCTCATTCTGCTGTTCAACTGACTGTGCCTTGACATATTGAAAAGTATCCTCAAGGAGTGCTTGTGAAAGAGCATAGTAAAAATAAGTAACTGACAAGTGATAAAATATTTATTTTTCAAATAGAAATGTATTAGAGCTTTACAAGGAGACTTTTCTATTTTCTTTCTATTTGTTAAAAACCTTACATCGTAAAATATCTAAATATACAGTCCCATGTGAASAATTTGTAAAAACACTTACTTAGAAATGTATACCCTGGAAAATACAAAAATGATCTTTGTGGTGACAGCTAATGTATAAATAAATGCATCTAGAAGTAAAACACCTCCGGTGTATTACAGGTAAGAAGAATAGCTCTGGTGTACGACAGGCCTTGCACACACACTGGAGCTTTTCCCAGAAACAAACTGAAAACCTTAAGACAAAGGGAGTCTTCTCTTCTTAAAGCACATAGTAGTGATGTTAAGYCTCAGTAAATGCACATGACAGACCCAAATGAGCTGTGCAAATGTTGTTTGTGTGTGTATAAGACCCTATCCTATGCTGTTGAACTAAGATTTCTTGGTACCTCACTACGTCAATACCCACTTGAAATTACCACTACTATTGCAAGACTAAGTCAAAATATCAACAAATTTATGAGAAACAGATTCTGCCTTAACTTCTTAATGAAACTAATTTCTATGTTAGAATAACACTGATTTATTTCTACTTGAAGATAACTACTCACTGTCTATCCAAAGCTCTTAGGTGGGCTTTCCCTTTTCAACTGCTTGCTCTTCTCAGCCTCCCAAACGATCCCAGGCAAACTCAGCATCACTTTGCTGGGTTATTTTCTGGTCTAGTTTAAAACTAGAACACAGACTGCCACAGTCAATGGAGTGTGCATCTGGTCCTGACATAAAAACGAAAAATGGGCACTTCTTTAGGCATCTTAAGGAAACAAAGCATCACTTATGACTAAGGTTTGGCTGAAGCCCTGTAAACAGCTATTGGGATTCAAACTGCATGGTATGTAGATGGGCCTCTGAAGCTCCTTACTGAATTGTCTCAGCGAGAGAGTCTTCTCTGCAGTGAAGTGCTGCAGGTTAATGTCATGTTAGTGAGTACAGAAACTACCCAGACAGAATGCATTTCATCAGCTAGGTTTCAAAACACTGTTTAAATATTAATTTACGTGACACACTGCAACTATATATGCAAGCTTCATTTGTGCAAAGGCTGTTAGGCCGTTGAGAAAGGTTCACAAGATCAAGTGTTTTTGACTGGTTATTTTAATTAAACACCAAAAAGCTGCTCTCTGTATTTTAGGATGATGAATTAGTTTATAAACAGCTATGCAGGTCGCCTGGAATGCAATACGGCTCTGTAAAACTGGATTTATTACATTTATTTGACCTTTTCAAAGCTGAAATTCTGTCAAAATTTTATGTTAGTTGTAACCTCATTTTTTCATGAAACTTATATAGCCCTTAAAGAAAACATTTATATAGAAACAGCTTGCTTACTTTTCACTGTTCTGTGGCCAGTCGGTAGCACCCAAATGGGTGAACACAACTGTTCAAGAAAGAYTCAAAGTATTTTATATTTTGAATTTCTCCCAGTTATTCAGCTCTGAGCAGATTTAATTTCCCTTCTCTTTTACCTATGCTGTGTCTCAGAGTCCGCAGAGGACAGACTGCAAATACTGACTGGCCATTTTTTAGGCACCACACCCTGTAATTCACAGCATCCTGACACGAGAGAGGAAACAACTGAAAAAGTGAGAAACCTGGTAAAGAAAAAGCCATTTTCTGTGGCATTGGTTCCACCCCTAGCCTGTGCTGCCAGACTACCAGCTCAAGGGCAGAACCTTGATCTGCACGGACAGAGCTCACGACTGTAATTAAGACGGATCTCGTAGTGGCACTGGGGCCTCAGGAGAGACCTTCCTGATGGCTCCCGCACAAGGGCATGACACACACTCCTCAACACGCAAGTATCTTCATTTTGGGAAACCAGAATTTTCTCCTGTCCAGAACTAGTTGCAGATGACAGTTGGTAACCAAAGTAAAAGCACAGAACCAAAATCAACTCCTTGTCTTTTCTCACTGGTTACTCGCTGGAAGATCCTGTGCTTTGAGGAAAAGYTAGAACTGCACAGATGAAGCCTTCACCAGCTGGCACCGCAGTTCATCATACTAGAGAGTTATAAAAACAACATCCAAAGAAGGTCAGACTTGAAAGAAGGATACCTCAAAGGAAAGCAAACCAACCAATGGAAAATGGTATTTGAAATATCCTATTCTCTTTGTGGATATATATTTTCAACAGGCCTATTCAAAAACATGCATTAAGCACTGGGGAAGAGGGAGCAAATGCCATAAGGAATTTACATACAGCTTTCCTAGCATTGAGCCTGAGTCATTAGAAGACAAATTGAGATTTCTTCCCAGTCACTCTTCATCCTAGCATATCATTTGACATGATTAAGAAAACTGATTGCTAAATTAGATTTTGGACAATAAGATAAATGAGTTTGTGGTAACTATATTTTCCCCACCATTTTCATTTTTTCCTTATAGCTCTAATGCCAAGCACCATGTATTCTAGTCCAAAGAAATTAAATCCTAACGATGCTGTAAGAAATACTGGAATAAGGTCCAAAACCAGTATTCATTTGAAAGTATTCAAAATTCTCCCATCCTCTTTAACTTATCCATTCTTCTCCTGACCTTATTTTCATCTGTAGTTAACATTTGCCTATGACAAGATGCCTTTTCACCATAAAGAAGGCCAATATATTCAGTTGCAGTACAGTGGGACGCTGCACGGCAGTGCTGGCTGACTGCAGTGCAGGCCCTCCCTGCTCACTCAGAACCACAGCATGGTTGAGGCGGGAAGGGACCCCTAGAGATCACCTAGTCCARCCCCCTGCTCCAGCAGGGACACCCAGAGCACGGGGCACAGGCGGCATCCAGGCGGGTTTGGAAGAYCTCCAGAGAAGGAGACTCCACAGCCTCCCTGGGCAGCCTGTGCCAGGGCTCTGGCACCCTCACAGGAAAGAAGTTCCTCCTCACAGGCAGATGGAACTTCTTGGGCTCCACTCCTACCCTAGCATGGGGCCTCCCTCACAAGCAGAAATCCTCCCTTCAGCAGAGTCCTGCATGACACCACAAATGCCGCAGACATGAAGAACACCAGGAATAAAGGGGGTTAATCAGAAAATGGCTATTTAACATCCACATGTACAGGGAAATCCTAAATACTACGCACAACGCCACTAGCCTCAGTATGGACGGGATAGTTTGTATATTACAGGARTAAGAGAGCTAGGCTCTTGTCCAATTTTCCTAACACTGCTTTTTGCTTCTCATGCTACTACCTCATGATTTACCCAACRGTGAGGCAAGGCTTTTTGTTAGATTTGCTATTCATCATTGTCTGTTGCCAGCTCTTCAGTTTTCCCTTATGTTCATTTTCACTTGTGAAAAGTCTGCTTTTAGGATATTGATGCATTTTTGCATAGACTAAAGCAAAAAAAAAAATTCATTACAGTAGTCTAGCTTAAGCATTTACGACTCTAATGTGCAGCAGAGAAGWTGAAGGAAATACATTTTCCTTCAATGTCTTTCTGTTAGAAAATACAATCAYGGAGGCATTAAAATATTTGCTTGGAATTCTGGACACGGATTTTTTGTTATCCACAAATATTTTTTCAAATGGGGAAAATGTAGTTTAATGGAATACACAAACTTTTGGGGAGTTTAGAAGAACTGAATTAGAGGAAGTTGTAATGAAGTTCAAAAAACAGGCTAAGTAAAAAAAAGAATCATTTGAAGGATGTTTTCCTAATCAAATCGCATATTCTAGAACATTTGTGAGGTAACTTGTAACGTATAATTGAAGGCAGAAGTTTTCAGGACATTCAAATGTAGGCTTCTTATGCAAGCCCTTAGGAGCATGAAGTGTATTAACAATTAATTAATAACAAGGTTAAGCTGACAAGGCAAAAGAGGTTATTCTCCAACATCAAATGCAACTTTGCCTCTATTATAGCTTGAAGTAAACTGAAGAACTCTTGTGGACTCAAAAAAAAACCAAAACCAAAACAACCAAATTCTGATTATGAGAAGCAGAGATTTTGGTTTCCAAATCAGTAATCATCTCCTGAAGGTTTAAAAGAATAACACAAGAAAATGAGATTTTCCTCAGCTATGTTTATAGCAGATATACTTGAGCTGAAAAAGAAAATGGATTCAATTTTCAAATTTCCCCTTCGGATTCAGTCTACACAGAATAACTACAATACATATTTTTATGTCAAATTGTATTTAACCATTAATAATGCTGGTGAACTATAATTCTAGATACCCAGTGTTTCAGCTGTAAGAAAATGAGGATACTGCCTGGGTTTGAGATTTCACAGATCACTTTCTGCAGTAGTTCAAGCCCAAGCTGGTAAATCCCAGTTCTTCAGAATTTTGTGGGTACTTTAGCACGCATCTGCTGAAAGTTTAGTATTATCTGCAAATAAAAACGTGCCACATGGTCAAAACAAAACAAAAAGCCCACAAAGCTTCCTTGCCTTCCCTGACCTCTGAAGCTCTGGATGTCTATGCAACAGTCCCCACTGGCAAATGGGCTGAGAGCCAGTGTCTCTCCACTATAACTGTACCCAAATYCACTAAGTTTGTTCCTTTTCCTAAAAGAGAGGTTATTTTAACAGATGAGAATAAAAATGGTATTAAAACCCTCAGATGAAGTGTCAATAAAACTAACTGTATATAACTCTCTTTACTATTGGAATGGATGGCTGCTCAGTCTTTGTACACAACTAGAATCATTAAKTGCAAAATAAACAATGGCTCAAGTGCATGAACATTCAGGTGCTTTCAGATTTCCAGCTTCCCCTGCCAAATGGCAGCATGATTGCTTTTTATGTTTTGAAGTGAAATCAAAAGGGAATAGTCTGGCTGCATTTCTGTCATTGGTGAGCCTCCTATTAAGGTTACAGACGATAAACAATTTTAGCAGTTATGTAAAAAGAGCTGATCAAGCAGGAAAGAGGAAACACGTTTATAGGTGATCATGAGTGCTTCTGCGAAAGATAGTATTTGTATCTCAAACTGCTAGAAAAAGTTCTTTGGAAAAATTATTTCACCATTAGGTTTTAAGATAGTAAACGAAGGCATTACTAAGAAGAGCAGCCAATTCTAACTAACCAGAGCTGAACAATAACAAATTCTGCTCCCTCTGCAACAGGATGACTTTCTTTAATAGCCTAAAAGAGGTACTGTCCTACTACACTGACTTTATTAACTGAACTGATAATACAATGAGGTTGAAACATTCATTTATTTTAACATGGAAAAAAAAMCCCACATTCAATTTCTTAGTAATTCACAGGGTTTTATGTTTTACCAAATTCAGCAATACATTTTTAAAAAGTCTTTTACAAYGAAACTGTCATATAATTCCGAAACACAAAGTAGCCTTGATAAAATTAATAAAGGGCTACATTTATGTCCCCAAGTATGAAGAGATGGATCAGTAGCCAATAAAGTGAAATCTAAGCAAGGAAAAGTAACAGCATAGTTCTGGATCTGCATAACGCCTCTAATATGGAATATTTTTGGTTGTTTTCAATGAGAAAATATTCCTGGAGGTTAATACAAGTCACTGGCACACTCCATTGCCCACTCCTACATTTTATAGCATGGTAAGAGCAGAAGAGCAAAACAGATTACAGCCTGTAAAGCTGTGACTTTTTTCCAGTCGCATGACACGTACTCATTTCTGACAAACTGAAGTTCCCTTATGTTGTCAACTTATTCAACAAATAAACATCACTAATATATATCATCAGTGCTTGTACGAATGAAATTTATGCAGGCATTCATGCAGCCATACTTAGTAGCTGCTTTCACTGGGACTGTAATTTGTGTTACAGTTCATAAAGGTGGTGTCATGCAGCTGTATCCAAATATATCCATCTTTCCTTGCAAACTTAATGAGGTACTTACACACTTCCCGTGGTGGAGCTGCTGTCCGTGAGGAAGGAGCCGTTGGTCCTTTCCATCTGGGCCAGTCTGAAAGACAGGGAAAATCCATCAGTCTCAGACACTACGCTGCACAATTTAAATACGTCTATGTGCAGATTAGTGCTTCTTAGAAATTACTCAGATATGGCAATGTTGCCTAATCAGGCTAGAAATAAACTCCTAGACTTTGAACAAGAACTTATAATACAGAGGGTTTTTATRAGAAACTTGTGCTATGATTAACTAATTCTACTTGCCAAGCAACAGGGAACAAGTATATTTTCTATATCTAGTATAAKTATCATTAGCACCACCACAACTCTCATGGCAAAATTAGTTAAAGAGATGTTTTCACAGATGGTTTTCTTGTTTGAATTCTATAGAGCTGGACTAACAAAAGAGGATAAATACTTTTTAAATATAGCGCATGCAACATCTGAAATTATGCTTGGCAAATAACATCACACTGTGGACAGACATGTCCTGGAAAATCACCCTAAAACTGTGTAATTATAGTGATTCCCTGAAGTTAAATCTTGGAACACTCAATGCTGTCCAAATACCAGGTCTATACTAGTCTGAATAGAGATCATGCATTTCCTTTACTTATTACCTYACTAATAAGATATCTTAAATTTCATGTGTATTTGTGCAAGTGCATTAAGCATTATTAAAGATACTTGCAAACCTATTTTGTAAGCAGTGGGCAAGTCCCTAAAAATGAGAACTCTGGTGTATTCTTTTTTCACAGAGCAGGCCTTCCCATGGGTACATTTGTCAGTGCTCCTCCAAAGTGAAGGAGGACAAGAGGGGCAACACAGGACATCACTGTCCTCCTCGTGCCACCACAGCTGCTGGCTGCCTGGCTCCGTGCTGATGCCTCCCCCATTCCCGAAAGAGAAGCTTCCGAAAGATGGGAAGGTTTTCAGATCATCGCTGTCCACATGACCCCAATTGAGGTCTAGTTAATAYTGAATAATATAAGGTAGTTATCATAATGCTAGTCATGTTTATAATGGTTCTTAGTTTGATAGCCAAGTCCTTGACCAAATAATTTTTTTTATTTTTCAAACTTAATCTTCATAGAGACTTTGCTGCCTCCTTTTCAGAAAGGAGCCTGAGGCACAGAAATTCGGGTAATTTGCCCCAAATCTCTTAGTGAGCAAGTAACAGATATTCAGTCTCTCACACATGTGCTCTATCAGCAACAGCATCTCTTCAGGCTCCAGCACATATTGAAAATTCGCTTGGAAGAGCGAATCCAGCTAGATCCAATCAGAAAGCACACAATAAAAAACCAAGATGATAGATACTGGATGAGTTATGCTGTATTACCAGAGGGGATAAAAAGAAAAAAAAAAAAAAAAAAGATTTTGACTAATTTTAGATAGCTTGCTTACACAGTGTTTTTAAGTGGATGTTTCTTGCTTTCTAACCAACTTCTGCCCACAGTCAGAAAGAGACGTGTGAGAGCCACGCACGGCTGGCTGTGAGCARCATCGGGGAAGGGAAGGAAAGCAGGTATTACACCAGGAGCTCTTACTGACCCTTGGGGAGGGTGCAGGGCTTGCACTTTACCTTGACACAAGGAACCATGGCGTGGCAGTGTCACAGGCTCAAAAAAAGAAAGATTGGGAAGGGAAGGACAAAAAAAACCCAGACAGCTTTCTAGTCTAATTTAAGTCTAATTTCCTTGCTTTTGTCTAATTTAAAGTCGAGGTCGTAACTGATTACGACATGGCCTAAGTTTTATATTCAAAAAYTGTACTGGTGACATCACATTTTTATGAACGGCATGTTTCAAACAACTGAAAAACAGCATAAGCTTGCCTTCAACAAATCAGTAAAAAGAATTAAAAAATTCACTGTGGAATAAAATAAGGAAATTGACGCTGACAACAGGCAGCCCTTTGGCATTAACTTATGCTCATTTTTTCCTTGCTGCAAATAGCATGTGTTGGGTAAGCTGGGTATCTAACAAATGGTTTAAGAATTTGCTTTATGGTGCCCAAGAACGCAGTAGCAAACAGGTAGCATTAACAAACACAACCTGTGGAGATTATTTACAACAGCAAACTCCTCTAGAGCAAAATTAAGGCAGTTCCTATGGTAAAAGAAATCAGTTTCTCAGTTAAAAGTAGTTATTCATAAAGTAGTTATTTTTTCTTAAGAGGGCACCTCTGGTTGCTGGCAACCATCAGCAGATTCTGAGTGGACAGAGTTCAATAAATTCCTTTTATGCTAAAAGGAAGGTTTGGGGGGACCCCATGAAAGGTAGAACATTTGTAGTTGCTGTATCCTTTGCTAAAAGTCAACGACAGTGGATAACCATTTTAGAAAATAAAATGAAAATCCTGGGTCTAAAGTTACATATCCAGCAAGTTGTATGTATTTCCAATGGTTACAAACAAGGAAGCCAAAGGAAAATGGTGCTTTTTAGAAATAACATGCAGTGATTCTGCAACAGTTTCTGTTCTGTAGGACAGATGACAGATTTAATGCATCTATTTAAAAGTTTAATATGCTGTATTCAGAAGAAGCTGATTTACAAATAGCTGACTTGCTTTTGAGTATAAAGATATATATTTTTTAATAAATAATGTCCAGGCAGTGGAGTATATTAAAAATCAGCAGGAATCTATCACAACATGTAGTGTAGCATAAGAAGCAGTGTGTGCAGGTCTTACCTTGTAGCATACTGCTCTATCCTGGTGTGTGTGTCATCATGAAATAGCTGTGGAGACTGCGAGGGACTGGTTAAACAGAATAACAAAACAAAAATTAATACCGTCTAAAGCAATGTAAAAATATCAAGGTTATTTAAAACATAAGTTACACTGCTGACAAATGAATGAATTAAATTCACAGTACTGTTGTGGTGGGTTGTTCCTTCGGGCTTTTCAGTGCACCATAGCCTATAGCTTATACATGTCAGATTAGCAGCTTCTCAGCTCAAAGGAAACAACTACCATTCTGAGCTTCCCAGGCAGAGAGGTTCTGCATACTCACTCGTATTGCTCTGGCCACATGCTGATGAGAGTGATAGGACTGCAAGAAAGAAGAAGAAAAAAAACCAACTTTAATGTCACTTAAGACAAAGCTGAGAAAAACAMACGTTATTTTGAGCAGCAACCCAATCATTTGTACTGGCAACTGTTACAGAATGAGGCAGCAGCAGATACTGCAGCCTACAATGGACAGAAGACTGGTTTATGTGCCTTAGTCCGTTAAATTAAAAAATAAATTGTTAAAAAGATCAGGAAGCATTATTGACTGAATTTTTAATTTTTTAAATCATGATTAGTTTGCTTAAATTGCACTTTGTTTGTTTGTTTTTAAGGAAAATATATATATATTTTATCACATATAGAAGACAGAATGAATACCAAATTTTCTCAGCATGATGCTGGCAGTTTATCTGTGTATTTCCCACATGCCTGGACCAAGAGAGTTTTGCCCCTGACCTGCATTTACAGTTTTGACATTCCAGTTTTGGCGTCAATGACAACTTGTCATCACATCAAAGCACCTTTAAGTTCCTTTGTTCTTGACATTTTTTTGATTGTTTGTTTGTAAGTACACACCAGTTTACAACTGCTCTAATAACATTTTAAAATTTGCACGTGTGCTCCAATCCAAATCCCTGCTTAGAACTCAGGCCACAGGTCAGGTTCCTTTGTCGTGCTTCTTCAGCCAAGAACGAGCAGGGTTTATTTACTGTAAATAAAATGTACCATCTTCTGGCCAGGAAAGCAGAGCACAGGCAATGGCAGAGGTCTACTGTACATGAAGCTTTATATTGGATGTTGCTGCTAACTTTAAGTGGCACATTGTTTAGACGGTACTGCAGCAGTGCAGGCTCCAGGATGTCAAGGAGAGTCAGTCAACCGAACTCCTTCTATCGCCCTGTCACCATATCTTAATTTGATTCTTTTAAGACTGTCCTCCTTTGACAGCTGACAAGAAAGTAAATAAATGAAGCAAAGTATTTCTGCCAGCACCATAAATAGTGTGGAGACATTCACAGGGCTCTCTTATCAAGCCCCCCCAGATTTCTGAAGTCTGTTGGAGCCTAATTATCTTGGAGATCTCCACTGCAATGCATTTGAAATAGGGTAGCTGATTCCAAAGTCATAAAGGAGAAAAGAGAGGAACTCGGAGACCAAATAAGCAATGTGGTTCCAAAAACCTCAATGTTATAAAAAGTTCTTTGTAAAACAGCTGTCAACTCTACCTTCAAAATTTTTACCTGCTAATATTCACAGCCCACCAAAATCAAAGCCTAAAGCRTGCTACTTGCAGAAAACGAGCAAGATCATCCAATATTCACGGAAAATGGCCCAGCACAAGGCTCTACAGCTGCTTTTGATTATTTTTGGGCTAATGAAAAATGCCAGTGGCCCCAGCAGGGATTATATTGTAGTGAAGCTTACGTTTCCAGGTTGTCRCCCTCCAGAACGGTTTGCACGGGTAAGTAGCCGAGCCGGGGGTGCTTTGCAAAATACTTCTTCGAGCGGAACTTGTTCTTCAGCACCTTGGTGAAGTCCCGTACATCTTCCCCAGACGTTGTCTTAAAAAGTAAAAGAAATTAAGTTGAATGTTGCTAAGCTGGCACTGAGATAATAATGTTGCTACTGTCCTCAAAGAGGATTCGATGAAAAACTTCACAATGTTAGGGATTTTAAAGCTGCTTTTCTAGTGTATTGAAACATGATAAATCAATAACAGTAATGCACCTACAAATTCTCTTTTATTAGTTAAAAATGGCAAGGCTTCAGATTCCTAGCAAAAATACACTAGCTTCCTCCAATTTATTAGTTGGTAAAAACTGAAACAGGCTCAAGTCTTAAAAGCAAAAATTTATAACTAGTCTTTAAAAAAAAAGCAAAAATCTGTTTTTTTCAGGAAAAAAATGCAGCTCTCTTTTCCATATACTAAGGAATACTCTTAGCAATTGGAGGCAATCTTGACTATCCACACTCATACCGATGAAGCATCTGACACACCCCATAGACAGAAGGCAGTGTGAAAACCTTGCAATTGTTGGTTGAAGAAATACAGCTGACAATAGTGGCTTTGTTGCAAAAAATACAGCCAACAGCCCTCTCGATTCACCGAGTGCCACAGATTACTCCATGCCACCCATCACACAACTCAGCTGTGAACCAGGAGCATGAGKCAAAAGCAGTAGGGGCTAAGCCAGCCCCTCCCGCAATGGCCACGTTTTTCCACAAGCACTTTCCCATGCTTCCAGAGCTCTTCCCACAGGTTCCTGCTACTACGCACACTGTTCCAGAGCCCAAAGATGAAATTACAGCCATTGTACGGGCCCCGTTGAAAGGCACAATCAGAAGCAACCCCGACACAAACAATCTGCACCCAAAGCAACAAACTCCCTGCCTGATCCAGCAGGAGGTCTCCAGGAGCAGAGCAGGCCCGTGAAGCAGCAAGGCCACAGTCTTGTCCAGCACTCGGCCCTGTCCCTCACCCCAAGGGCCTGCCTATGGGGTGCAGGTAAAATGGGTGCAGCTGCTTTCAGAAATCGCTTTAATTGGAATTAATCACATTAGTAACGACAGCACGCCTTGGTAATGCTGCTCAATTAACTCCTGCTGCAAAAGCAAGAACGCAAGCAAGAAAATGCAGGCCTAATACAGCAGGTGAACACACCTGTAACAGACGGACTTGCAGGGAGATAYAGCAGCACACAGTACACTTTTAAAGTATATATGTTTACAGAAGGCATGGTGCACTTAAATGGAATGGTCCCCATCACACAGAGGGGTTAGTGTTGAAGGGATGTTTTGCTGCAAGGGCAGTGCAGGCCAAGTGCCATCCACCCCCTCTGAGGGCAGCTCCTTAGCTGAAGGTGGCAGCAGCTCCTACAGATCTACACATGGGAGCAGCTCCCAAGCCAAACCCTTTCAGAGGCTGCACGTTGACTTTCCACACACTCTTTTAGGGAAAACATGTTAATATAATATAATGMCAAAGCTTAAGGGAGTCCAAAGGGGGAAAAAAAAGGTTAAAGGCTTTTCAGTTTAATTATTTTTTGCTATTATAGTGTGAAAASAGACAGAGGAATAGGCAAACTAATCTCTCACTTTATTCTCCACTGTCAAAACAAACAAAATATCTATTTGCCTCTGTATTTTAATATTTGTATYGTATATGTCATTTACATTATATATTTATAGTCATTTACAAGTGCTGACTGAACTAACTGTAAAAAATGGTAGGTTATCAAACTGACATTGGCAAGACTCTTTAAGATTCAGTTTGAACWAGTGAAAACTGAGCAAATTTGAGATGGAGAGAGATGTTGGAACTCCCAAATTTTAACACAGGTAAATCAGGAAGGGCTCACAAAATGATTGCCAAAAAAAGCAGCTGTTACACTCACTTATGCATCTAAACAAAGAATGTGAAGTGCAAAGGGCTGTGAATTTTCATGCAACAATAACTGCAGCAGATGGAAGGCTGTCCCACGGCCAGTGAATRAAAGTTTTCATATCTACATATTACAGAAATAAATGTCTATTGAGCTGCCAAACTTTTCCTCTCGGGTCCTTTTTATTTGCTACGACAGCCTGACCCAGTTCCTTGCAAAGACTAATTTGCCTCTGTACTGAGCGAGGCTCGTACATACTGACCAGAGAAATCTGAGCGGATTTGGAGGAACTCTTTGAATTTAAATGCAGCTAAGTGACAACCTATAAAAGTGGTTGTCTTAGGCTTTTTGTATATACCCTCATGGCACAGTACAAACAAAAATCATGCCAGAAGAGATGTACTTTAACACTGAACTTTTGAAAAATAGCCAGGGGCTCTTCTGTACAACCTATCTACAAAATGAAAAACAGCAGCTGACTTGTATACTTCTTTACATCTTCTTTACATGACATGTTGACTATTTCCACAAAAGTCAACAGCACAGACATCACAATATTTGCAAAACTATTTGAAAAGCAAGCAAGCAAGCAAACAAAAAAGCTTTTACTGGAATAAACATTTCCTCCATACAAGCATATTCTCAATCTTAATTTAAAATCTCTGTTCCTAGAACGTGACAAAGTTCAGGAAGGAATGACTATGATCCATACCTGGCACACACAAAAACCTATAAATAAACAATTCTCTGTATCTGAAAGTCTCCAGTAGAAAATATGGAACAATTGACAACTGGCATTAGGACTCTTCAAACTACAGCCAGGAATATATGGAATCAGAAATCACAAACTAAGAACAAGCAAAACCCCTTATAAATG